ATGAGTATTTTGCAGATCTCATTTTTTCTCACAAGGTTTTGAAATATAAAAAAAGAAAAGAAAAAATATGTTTTTGTATTTTTTCTTCATTTTCCAAAAACCTGTGGCAACAAACGAGATCTGCAAAATACTCACCATGCTTCTTATCAAATTCCTTGGGGTGTCTACTTTCCAAAAAGTGGTCATTTGGGGGGGTTTGGTGCTATATTGGCGTTTCAGGGCCTCTGAAACTGTGATAGGTAGTCAGGAAGTGTAATGAGGAAATAAAGCCCTATAAAACACTGAAGGTGCTTAATGGATTTTGGGGTCCTGTATTTGGCTAGACTGACAAAACGTCTCTCACATGTGGTACCCCCATACTCGTGAGAAGTAGCAGAATGTATTTTGGGGAGTAATTCCTCATATACCCATGACATGTGTGAGCAATACATCATTTAAGTGACAATTTTGTGTAAAAAAAAAAAAAAAAAAAAAACTTTTTTGTCATTTTCCAAAAACTTGTGGTAAATAAATAAATTCTTCTATTGATTCAACATGCCTCTCAGCAAATTAAAAGCATGGAGGCTGTTAGACCCAAACACCCATATAATCATGGGAACATTGAGGCAGGCCTTAAGTCCTTGCTTGATAATAAGGATTTAATTATAAGGCCGACCGCCAAAGGAGGAGGAGTGGTCGTCCTCAACAAATCCGACTACATGACAGGTCTTGAAAATTTTAGATGACAAAGAAACCTATTCAATATTACCAAAAAATCCTTTAGTTACCTACAAACGGTCCCTAAAAAGCCTGATTAAGAGCTATGATAATCATATTATCAGTAAAAAAGATACTTTTTATGTCCTAAGGCACCTAGGCTACCAATACTATATTGCTTACCCAAAGTCCACAAGGACCCCATTCACCCACCAGGAAGACCCATCGTTAGCGGCATAGGGTCGCTATGCTCGAGAATTGGGGAATACATTGACTATTATTTACAACCCCTAGTGTGTACAACACCATCTTATTTAAAAGACACCAAGCAAGTACTAAATGAGACTAAGACCCTTCGGTGGAACCCAGAACAAATGACATTTCTTGTAACGGGGATGTCGCATCCCTGTACAGCAACAGAAACCACAGAGATGGGATGACAGCGGTCGAGTACTACCTTAATGAGGCACATCACATCCCTGGAGCACAAAAGACTTTTATTTTAGAACTATTCGATTTTACCATGAATAAGAACTACTTCTGGTTTAATAAAACATATTATTTACAAACCAGAAGGGTGACAATGGGAGCCAAGTTCGCTCCCAGCCTGGCTAATCTATTTATGGCCAGGTGGGAGGAAGATGTAATATATGCTAGAGAATGGCCTGAATTCATTATCTATAAATGCTATATAGACGATATCCTCCTACTTTGGCAAGGAGAGGAAGATGCCTTGATAAATTTTTTCGGGGCCCTTAACAACAATGACTTAAATATTCAACTCACCTTTACATATAATACTATATAATACTAAGGAAATCAACTTTTTGAATGTAACATTTATTCAATAATGGAGGACATATAATTTCGGAAGCATTTTTCAAAAACACTGACCGAAATAGTTACATTCCGACAGATAGTTGCCACCATCCTTCTTGGCTAGCAAATATTCCCAAAGGCCAATTTATGAGAGTGAGGAGAATTGTACTAATATAAAAGCTTCTCATACTAAAGCGACAATATTGAAACAGATGTTTATTGAAAAAGGCTATAATGAAGCCAAAATTGGGCATGGAAATGGACCATATAGCTTGTCTGGATAGAGATTCCATGTTATCCAATTCTACCTCCCAAAGAAGCGGCAAATTCTGTCCATTTATAACGTTTTTTTTCTATACAATTCAAAACGTTCAGTAAAATCATCAATAAGAATTGGAATATCTTGAGAGCAGACCCCGTCTTGTCTAAGGTCTTACCAGAAAAACCTGAAATTGTCTTCCGCAATGCACCCACTCTCAGAAATAGGATTTCTCCTAATGTAATTGATCCTCCATTAAGATCCACACATTTTTTACTACTATGAAGGGTTTCTACCCATGCAAAAGGTGTGTCATTTGCCAACAAAACAAAACTCCCTTAAGGAAAATAGAACATCCACAGGAAGAACCTATAATATATTTTCATTCATTATGTGCAATAGTCGCTCTGCTGTTTATCTTCTTGAGTGCCCGTGTCGTAAACAGTATATCGCTCTCACCACTAGAAGATTAAGGGATAGATTCCGGGAGCATATTTACAATATCAAAAGAGGCTTCAAGGAGCATTCACTATCAAAACATTATAGATACCACCATAGCAGAGACCCATCTACAGTGAAATTTATTGGCATAGATATAATCCAAAATCATTGAAGAGGGTCTAACAAAAGTAGACTAGTTTCACAAATGGAAACTAAGTAGATCTACGATATGAGGACATTAACACCTGCAGGCCACAATATAGACATAGATATTAATTGTTTTATAGATAACAGCTGATTTTTAATCCTTATTTTTACTCTGGTCTCTATAGTAGAGCCTTGCCTTTTATCAACTTCTATTCCAGTTTTATCAGTGTCTATATACATCTGTTTACGTTAGTTTTTATGCAATTGTAGGGTATCCTGTTCTATTTTGTAGCATTCTTATCTATGATTATGCTTTTAGTTACTATTATTAATACTACTACTAATATATACATCCTCGTATGTTTTACATCTATTTGGTGTTTACATCTTTAGGGTATTCTATTCTAGTTTCTTTGGCATTCTATTAGATTTTTATATCATATTTTTATAATTATAATATTAATATTTTTATTATTATTACTACTAATATTATTTTATGGTGCTCATTACACCATTTGTTTTTAATGTTTTTATTACTATACAGGCATTTACACTTCATTGTTTTTGTTTTTGTTATGTTTATACTGATTTTTACTGTGGTTATGTTATTATATCAGATTATTGTCTATCTTAATATTGTAGATGTTTGAGGCCACTACATCTACTTTTTTGGCTTCAAATTGTAAAGATATATGAGCTGTCTGAGCTATCTACACCTAGACCTATGGAAAATGGCTTTTACGCATGCGCACTTCCCGCTGGTCTTCAGCATTATGCTATTTTCTCTGGACCAATGCAAAATGGCGCCCGCGATCACGCACATGCACATTTCGCATTGATCTCTGGCAAGATGGCGCCCGCTAATTTGCACATGCATTTTTGACTATATAAAGAGCAATACAGACGTCAGGCTGCAACGGCACACCCCTTATGAGAACGTACAAAACACGTCACGGAGGAGCCTGCACGCCGTGACTTCACGCCGCCGGATCACAGAGGTCCATCAGCCATCTTTGATATTCAGCTGATCAGTTTACTCAGCAGCTTTATGCTGCATGCATTTGCCTATTTTAACCTGTGTATGTAATTGCATGGCCTTTTTACCTATTGAATACCATTAAACTACATTTTAATTACTACACTATGGGCATATCCCCCTTCTTTGCTCTGCACTGAGCATTTAAATCCCACAAAGTCTCCTTGGTGACCATCCCAGTGCCTGGAAGAAGTTGATCCATACATCTCTTAAAGGAAACCTCCGGCTTAGCACCATCCTGTAATTCAAATGAAGGCCACTTAACCCCAGGCAGTATCCGGTACCACCCTAGAAGAGATCCCTGACAGACCATAATTTACTGTATACAATGCACTTTATATATGCGCATCTGGTGAGTGCACATTTTACCTATATCCTGCACTTCACCTGAGTATTGAATCATATATAACTGGGAATAACGGAGTCACCTAGGTCACAATCCTTGATGTTTAATTGAACTATGATCATATCTATTTGAACTCTTTCACATTACCAGAGAATTCCCTTCAACGCTCATTTAGTTACTGGACACCCCCTGGAGTTATTTATATTTATATTGATTCCTTGTACTGATTTATTTATGATATATTTCTTTTAGCGCTGCACTATTATTTTATTTGTTATTATTAACACTCTAACCCTAACCAAAATAAATAAATAATAATTACGGCATAATAATTACCCTAACACTTAACCCCTAACCTCAACCCCTAACACTAACCTTAACGTAACCCCTCACCCTAGCAAAAAAACAATAATAATAAATCAATAATAATAAAAAGAAAAAAAAAGCTAATGGATAAGCTAAAAAACTTAGCAACAAATGATGCAACAGATGATAGTTTTCTCAATTGGCTAATAAAAAACAACAAAGCTCAAAAATGCCTGAAAAACGCTATATGAAAACGTGAATAAACATGCAAAAACGTTCAAAAATTGAAAAAAAAAAAAACATACGAAAAAAACGCTCAAATTCGCTTTGCTCAAGTGTGAATGCAGCCTTAGAGCCCATATCTTTAACCTCCTCCTGCCTGCCATATAGTACAATGACGGGCGCAAGGTGGTTTTCTCATTCTGGGAGGACGTCATATGACGTCCTCCCATTCTAACCATGCATGTGCGGCTCCAGGAGCGCACATCATGGCGATCGGCGGTGCGCTGTGTCCCTCGGACACAGCGGATCACCAATCAACGGAAAGAGCCGAAGATGTCGGCTCGGTCATGTGATCAGCTGTGTCCAATCACAGCTGATTGCATGTAAATAGGGAAATGCCGGTTATTGGCATTTCTCTCCTAATGAACTGTCACGCTGACAGCTCAAGAGGAGAGGAGAGCCGGTAATCAGCATCCCTCAGAGGAGACATGTACACTGATCATCAGGGCACTGATGATCAGTGTTCCCTGATGATCTGTGTAGCCCCAGCAGTGCACCTGTCAGTGTCCAGTGCCAGCTATCAGTGCTCATCCATGCCACCTGCCAGTGCCCATCAGTGCCACATCAATGTCACATTTCAGTGCCTACCAGTGCACATCAATGCCACATATCAGTGCCCATCTGAGCGTCCTTTCAGTGCCAGTCAGTGCCACCTATCAATGCCAGTCAGTGCCCACCTATCAGTGCTGCCTATCAGTGCCAGTCAGTGCCGCCTATCAATGCCAGTCAGTGCCGCCTATCAGTGCCAGTCAGTGCCACCTATCAATGCCAGTCAGTGCCACCTGTCAGTGCCGCCTATCAGTGCCACTCAGTGCCGCCTATCAGTGTGCATCAGTGCCACCTAACAGTGCCGCCTAACAGCGCCATATGAGTGCTGCCTTTCAGTGCCCATCAGTGATGCTTGTCAATGCCCATCAGTGCCACCTACCAGTGCCTCCTCATCAGTGCCCATCAGTGCCACCTATCAGTGTCCATCAGTGCAGCCTATCAGTGCCCATCACTGCAGCCCATTAGCGCACATCAGTAAAGGAGAAAAATCACTTATTTACAACATTTTATAACAAAAACTAAGAAAAAACTTTTTTTTTTTTTCAAAATTTTCAGTGGTTTTTAGTTTGTTTAAAAAAAATAAACCCAGTAGGTGATTAAATACCACCAAAATAAAGCCCTGTCACAAAAACATGACAAAAATTTCATATGGTACAGTGTTGCATGACTGCGCAATTGTCATTCTAAGTGCAACAGCGCTGAAAGCTGGAAATTGGCCTGGGCAGGAAGGGGGTATAAGTGCCCTGTAGGCTAGTGGTTAAATCCATATTTATTTCCTGTTGTTTTAGGCTGCCTCCTATTTTCCTCAGCTTTCAGTGGAAAATTGGTGAAAAATGTCAGTTGAAGATACTTTGCTATTGTTGTATAAAAGCTTGCTGATTTATTACTTCTCTTTAACGTTTATAAATGACAGCTGGTAGACAAAGATTTTACCTACTTGACCTCTGGAACGTTTTACCCACCTTCATGACCAGACCCTTTTTGCTATTCAGCACTGTGTTGCTTAATCTGGCAATTGCACGGTTATGCAACACAAATTAAGTTTAGATCATTTTTTCACACCAATAGAGCTTTCATTTGGTGCTATTTGATCACAACTGAGTTTTTATTTTTTAGTATATAATCGAAAAAAAAATAACATTTTATTATTTCATTTTTTAAAAATATTTTCTTCTACTTTCTGTTATAACACGTATTCATTCAAAAAAATCAAATCTTATTTCTTTATAAATTTAGGCCAAATTGTATTCGGCTACAAAACAAATCCCAATAAGTGTATATTAATCGGTTTGTGTGACAGTTCTAGTGTCTATAAACTATGGTATATACAGTATATTTGAAAAATTGTAGCTCCTGTGTAACTCTAAACTGGTAATCTGTAAAGGCATTTAAAATGTCACCTACAGAGAATTTTAAAGCATGACATGTTAGGTAACTCTTTACTTTTTATAACGTCCTCTTTTATATTTTACCAAAAGTTTGGGTATTATATTGTGTTTGAGTGTCATTTAAGTGTATTTTTTTTTTTTTTTAAATATGTTTGAAAAACCCCTGTGCAAATACCGTGTGACAGCCATCATTTTATTATATAGGATCTCTGCTGAGAAAAAAAAAAAAAAAAAAAAAAAAATATATATATATATATACAGTATATGTAATTTTCCAGAAAAAAATGTAAATACTTGCATGTACAGTATGTGAGAAGTGTCAGAATTGACCTAGTAGGGAAGTAGTTAAATTTGTAAAGTGGGCAATGGGATTTCATGTGTGCAGCCGCTTGACCACTTCCAGTGCCCACCAAAGGTACCACCCCCGTGATGTATCCCAGGCTGCATTGTTCCACCTACAGACCTGGGAATGACATGGCTGATGTGGCAGACTGAATGGTGGGAGACCAGCGACTGTTCCTTTGCTAATGACCACAGGTGCAACAATGATAATGCAACATAATTTGTCATCCATAAGCTTCAGTGGAAGGCAAAGGGGACATCAGGGGTCTCATGAAAGAGGACCTGTCACAGAAAAATGCTATCACATAGGGCTATTGCCTCCTCTATGTGACAGAAATGAAGTTAAGGCTGGACTCCAGAAATTCAGCCACTTTCTGAAATATGCCAGATTACTATGGCTTAAAGTGTAACCCCAAGTGTTGTGTGTATATTGTAGCTT